ATCTACCTCAGCACGTTGCTGGGGACTCTCTCATGTCGTTTCTTGCTACAGCTTCATTTCAGCTGTAAGGGAGTGCGACGGGATACAGCTTACAATTCAGCTTCACAAATTGCAGGCTTATTCTAGAATATAATCAATAACTGCTCACTTATTTGGAAATACAAACTTTACATCTCTTAGATCCCTAGACTAGTCAATGCACAATGGTATTGTCGCAAGAGTGAGAAGAGAGATCTTCATATTGCAGAGTAAGTTTGTTCAGTTGTTTTGTTTAGCTTTTTAGAATCAAATATTGTGAGACGATTCGGTACTTGCAAATGTCGCTGCAGAATTGGTGGAGCCACAGTGTGTCCTGTACAGTGGTGTGCTCGTGGGATGGAGCATGCAGTCTATCAAGAACAAAGCAATTTTGGGGGTTTGCTCCTAAATCACAATGGCTCTTGCCATAATCGTTGAAATGCACTCGGAACATTTTTACAAAAGTTCATGCGATCAAGCAGCCTTGGTAGTTTCGGTCCCACTGGCTTACGGCCTACATAGGAGACGTGGCGTTTATCAATAGGATTTGGACAGACTGTGCTGGTATAGTGCTGGTACCTGGTACCAGGTACAAAGCCCTGCACGGGCACCTGCTTAGTTGGTGCTTGACCGGGTAGGGTGATTTGTCCCTCACAAATTTATGTGTTTTGCTTGGGCTAAGTGTTATACTTACTCTAAGTGGATTTATGCGCACTTAGCCTAAGTAAAAATTTGTGTACCTTGCACCGAACAATTTTCTGCCATGACTGCACAGAAAACCGACGTGGCGTTGTGAATAACTAAATCGATCTTGAGAAAATCAAGGCCAGTTTAACCATTTCAAACCAATTTTAATTTATTAGCATGGAGGTAGGTCGAGTAGGAGGTACTGTATGACCTACAGCATGCAATGATTCAATAATACTTCGTACACTCATTTTACACATCCTAAAGCTGATCCTAACCGTAAGACGAGACCGAGACATACATGGACGTTGAATTCGAGCCTGCCATATTTACTTAAGCAGAAGATAACATTTATTCAATGACGGATAATGCATTGAATATGTCTCGGAAGCATTCTGATTGTCTGGTAGACCATGGTACTGAACATTGTATAGTAATGAATCTCGGAAGCAAGACTGGAGGCACGAGATTTTCAGAAAGTGTGGGGAGCGCATGCCGGGTCACGAGACTTTGTGAGACGTCCTGATTGGATAGAAGCCTTTTCAGTCAATTGAATAGTTTGACATCCTCGATTTCTACGTCTCGGTCTCGGTCTCGCTGCACGGTTAGGATCGGCTTAAGGCTGTGTAGGATTTTGGTATTAAAGTTCTACAAGTCCACATGAGGGTGCAGGAAACTCGACAGAAACATCCGACTGGCCAAAATCTAATGCAGGATCTCGCTACCAGCCAGAAGACCGAATCCATTGCTCAAGACAGGTTCCATTCTGGGTGGTCCCTGGAATACCACGGAACAGTTCTTTTTGGCGCTGGCAATACCGGTATTGGTAGTACCAAACCAAAAGCACCACAAAATAACATGACATCAAAAACAAGTCACCAACCATCATTTTGTTGGCTGTTGTCACACCTCCCTCCTCTAAAGTAGATGTAATTTGTCACTCTCATGGTAACATTCAAAAGGTACTCGCAATGACTACTTTGTCAATATGAACATGACCGTCGCAGCGGCTTCATCTAGAAGTCCATTTTGCGGCTGTGTAGTTACTCAGTGGCTAATAAACTGGAGACTCCCATTTTCTCTGGATTATTGACTTTCTGGCATCAGTGGCGGTGGTGGAAGCCATTTCCCAGGCCCAAACCCAATTGCCTTTCACAATGGCACCACCCATGAAACCAAGAAGCCCAAGGCATCAAAATATACACCGGTAATACCAGCAAAAAGAAGAAATGGGCGGTAGATTCTCAAATTGAATCCACCAGTCAACAAGACGATCGATCGAACGAAGATGGTGACTGCTACTAATAGCGACAACAACAAGCAGTCGCCACTACTACTAAAATAACAGCAAGCCATCGGTTGTTGAAACCGATTCCGTTTTTGAAACCGATTCCGATGTCGGCAACAGAGTCGAACAGTATCTTGTGGCAGAAGAATAAAACGAGTTTCATTGTGGATTGACACCTCTACTATCAAGCCCCATTCGATATATTTAATACTATCAAGCCCCATTTGATATAGAATTGTCCAGCAGCATTATGTTCTCACTAAAAGAAAGTCTAGTGCAGTCGAAGTAGTGCTGTAGAGTATGCCCCCTGACGGTCGGTGCATGTTGTTGTCTGGATGGTGAGTGTTGGGCTTGACTTGCAGAAAACAACAACACGGAAAATGGGGGTATCCAAAATGTGGTTGCATTCAGGTCAAAGATTTAGAGGGGAACTTGAAGAAGGCTTAGAATATACTCATTATCTTAAAGGTGAGAATACTCAGGTTCCGTAACCAGTCTTCTGGCTGGTAGCTCGACGTGAAATCGTAGTGATCAAAACAAACAGGTACAAGACACTTGCCACTGAAAAAGCCAGTGGAGAGGAGAGGTAATACACCGATCTACAACCCCAGATGAGTAGTGGTAGTAGATCTACTAATACTGTTTTTTACCCTGACAGGGTCAAACCACGTACCGTTATGTAAAGGTATTTGGTGACATTTTAGTTCTCCTTTTTCCAATTTGAAAATGGTGAGCTCCTCTAGCCTATGAAAATAGCAGGTGTGATAGCTACGGGTACGAGTATCGTTATGGCGTGCTACCGGTACGGTACTTATATCAAGATGCACAGGAAATTCCACAGTGGGCATTTGGCAAGCCCAATCAACTGCAAGCCCAATGTATGCACTCAAATCCCACATACATTTAGCTCGGCAGTTGGCACTTCATCACCCCAGCCACCAAACAAAACAAATCTCAGGATGTCGCCAGCTTAGCCACCAGGAGCACTATGGCTGCCTACCCACCCACCAAGAGAAGTGGTCCGCCCTCACCTCGTTCACGCTCCGACCTTTGTTCGAAGTAGGGGTGACAACCCTTGGATATGGATCTTGCAATGATTCCACAGCCCACGACACTGACGAACCCCGAAAGCCACATGGAAGTGAAAAATGCATTCAAAGTGGCAAGATCAGCCCCTTGGTGGGCTTGGAGAAAGCCCAACGAAATGAGTGTGAGAAAGATCAATGTCAACGAAGCCACTCCCACTAGACCTTCAACGAACGTAACCTTCAATTCTGCAACATCAAGAATGGAGAGCCGTGCAATGCTTGACAGAACGAAGGAAATGAAAAGAGTTAGGTTGAGGGTTCCACCGGCAAAGACTGCCTGGAATCCTCGCACAGTTTCTTCAAACACTTGTTCTGCCATTTTCTGTTCGGAAGTGACGTAGGGAGAATCATCTCCTTCCAGTTGTTGCAGTACTTCGTAGGACTTCGTGACATCGAGCCAGGTTCTGCTATTGGCTAGGCTTCCTACGGCGTCTGCCAGGAGAAAGACAATCACCAGGCTGGCCTTGATGTTTGTGAGGATGGTTGTCACTGCCAATAAATTGAATGCGTCCTGGTCCTCAAATACCGTCTGCCGTAGACATTTCCCGGACATTTCCATGACGATTACCGCCACCATGACTCCAATGAGCCGCGTGGTACAAAGCGCCAGGATTGTTCGTCCGCGGGGAGACGCTGGATCCGGTACAAACATTGTATTGGAGGCAAGCAAGACGAGGACCGCGGAGGCTCGATGCAGATATGCATTCTCGGCGTAGGGCATGGATGCTTTCCAAATCGTGATTAGACACCATACCTGCCAAACCACAAACGTTGGTATCTCCAAACGAGAAGTGCCTGTGGCCCACGCATACCAAGTGAATGCAATAGTGGAGAGTAACTGCAAAATGAAGATCGATACTCCAATCCGACGAAAAGAAAGACGATTCAAGCTGCGGGATTCTTTCTGGCTTCCATCTTGACTAGACTCGTCAGATCGGCTTTGGGATGACTGTGGAAGCAACACCGGTGATGCTTGGACAGGGGAGGAGGATGTTGAATTGTTCGAGGAGACTGCAATAGAATGTGGGGCTGCGTTCGAGTCAACCGTCACCACAGACGCAGTTTCTCGTTGGCACGTGCTATCTTCTTGGTGAGCTCTGCTGCTATCTGTCCTCCCCTCTTCCAACAAGTCAACCGGCATCGCAGGTACTACGAGGATCTTCTGCAGAAGGACTTGTTCATCAGTGCGAAGTTTGTGTGTAAATGGGTCACACTGCTAACCACTCACCCAAGGACCCAGGAAAAGGTAGACTGCCTCCCCATTTTAAGGGAAGGACGAATGATGCTATATAACGAATACTTCTGACACTCCCCATCGTCCGAGTGCAGCACAGATACCGTATAGGACTACCTCCCAGGAACCAGTAGGCTTTTAAGCTGGGCTGTAGGGGGGAACAAGAGACGTGGGTCTTGTCGGTCCTTAGAGCGGGGCATGAGTCGCAGACAGGCGGCTCCCAGAAGCACTGCAGCAGCCGTCTGCGACTCGAAGTCACAAAGTACCACAATTTGGGCTCATAACCTGCGAAGTTTGTGTGTAAATGGGTCACACTGTACGACATGCTAACCACTCACCCAAGGACCCAGGAAAAGGTAGACTGCCTCCCCATTTTAAGGGAAGGACGAATGATGCTATAACGAATACTTCTGACAATCAGACCCTGATGTCTCCTTTGGAAGCTTCGACAACGGCAAAAAGGGAGGTCAGGCCAAACGCGACTCATAGATTTAACTACGAGAGCCTTCAGGGACTTAAACGAAGTCGCAACCGAAAGGTGAAGGTCGCAGAGCGCAGAGATACCTTCACCCTAGCTAGAGACTATTAATAGTCTACCCAGGAGGACCCCTGGATCCCACCAACATCATTTTTGTTCTCCTTCGTACGGTGGCTACTGTCTAGCTAGCTAGTAGCTCTAGCTAGAGACAGCTATACGGTACCAATTTTACTGGCTCTACCACTGGGCTGTACAGGTACCATACCGTGGCTCTTCCTGGGACCAGGCCCGGTCAAACAAAAAAAGTACTGCGAAATCCACATTCCACATGCATCCAGGTGTGTTTGACGCTACAGCAATGCCCAGCAGCACACCTGAGAAACAAATTTACCAGGGCAATTTGCTTTCTGCGTCGGTGGTAGCGCTTGCACTGCAAATTTTTTAAAAGCTCTTTGTGATTTTCAGACAGGTAGTCTAGGTTTTGATACTGACCTCCCTGCACAACTTCCGGGTTCTTTGTTTGCTTAGCCGTTTGATTGAAAATGCCGAGCGAAAGAGGCCTCAATCAATTTAACGAGAGAAGAGTTTGTTCAATACTATAATCTTGAGGACTCCAGTTTGAAGTGATTTCCAGTTTCTTGCCGTCAAAGGAATCGAACAATGCCTGATGAGCATGTTTGGAAAAGTCGCTGTCTTTGCTACGATGCTCATAGTCTGCAATCCAATCTAATAGCATGGGTAGATTCGCATCTTGATCTTGTTTGCCATGTGGGTACTTGTGTGGTTCCCACGGCCGTGCCTTGGCATTTTCTTGGCACGTGAGAATGGGTAAATTGAGGAAAATGGTCAATGTGGCCTTGGGAGCGACGTGACTCAAGAGATCGGCATAACATCCTTCCATGATCCACAACTCTGGAGGTTTCCGCTGCTGTTGAGCCATAATCCAGCGATCCAATTCCTGTGTAGCAATGTGGTGTGGTTTCCGTTTCGGAACAGATTGGTCATCTTTGTGACACCAAGCAATGGAATCCAGATCCAAATGAGGCCATTCCGGGTGCTTGGACACGAGATTTCTGGCTAAAGTGGACTTGCCTGATCCTGAGTTTCCAAAGACAATGATTGTGGGATAGCGGAGCAATAAGGGCGACTTCATACTTGTTTCAAGTACATGTAACTGGTTGAGGATGCATCTTGCTTGCTTTCATCAAATTTCGTCTCCTGGAGACGATTTGCTTTAGGGGTAATGGTACCGATGGGGGCAGAGGTTTGAATTATACCCGGCGCGCATTACTTAGAAGGCCCTGTAGAAGTCTACGTATTCGACTAGTATTGTATTGACGGGATACAGTCAACGCATGTACATGCACATGAAAGTCGCCTTGCGTTCTTCACATTTTAAAAGTGGTTCCTAATTTTTCGGGGTCACCTGTGATTTGATTGGACGCTGATCTTTTTTCAATGACTGACATTGAATGACGTACGAGGTGCAATGCGGATCTCAGAAAGGTAGTTGTAGTAATAAAAGTTTTTATATATAGATTAATTTACCCTATATCCCTACCGTTTATACCTATATT